CAGACTGGCCACCTGTGTTCGTTAGCCTTGGTGGTTTTATAGAGATATTATTTTCTAGTTCAGCTATCTCGTTTGTAGTCACACATGCAAAATTCTTGTGTAAGTCACAGCCTCAAATAAGACTAATGAACAAACACAAAAACATAATTCATGTTTGTACAACCGCCTTCTAAACTCTCACCACCTAAGTTTCACTTTCTACCTTCAAACACTTTACTGTTTACTGTATTCACATTCTCCAACTATCGATGGGCTTCAATAAGGGTTAGAGTGCGGGACTTTGGTCCCAGGTTCAAATCCGCCAAATCACCAATGGATTTTTTCTAAGTGATAATGCTGCACCCCTAGCCTGAAGTAATGTGAAAAACAATCCCAGGCTTGTAACTAGTGTCCGAGGACAGAAAAAAATGTAAAATTTGAACTAGCTATCTTGGGTAGTGAGCTCTTTAGAGACTTTAATTTAAATACAACCATTGACTATATACAACCCTTGTATGATATGTATTAAATCAGCTGATTTTAACCTAAGTGTAAAAATAAATACTTCAATACTTTTTGATGAAATAGCGACCATACAAAGTAGGTATTTTAAGCCAAGTATGAATGGAGATAAGTGTAGGATGAGTAATATTGTAGTTTTGTTAGTGACTAAGGCCGACATATTACTTAGACACAGGTGTTAATTAATAGCCCATACAGCTAATGGCAACTAAGGGACCTACAGTTTATAGTGGAATCTGAACCACATTTTTGCTTTAGTGTATACAAATTGGTCTAATTATTACTATAGTACTGCGGATAGTCGTAGTACTCACTCATGCGGACGTTAATGCACACCAGAGAGTATCGCATCCACAGTGCGTGTGACCTCCTAATAGTTGGATTACAGGACGACGTCACCCGTCCCATATCATTGCAATTGTCATTGTAATAATGTAACCTTTTTGTGCCATGGTTCAATGATAAAGTCAAATGGAAAGAGTTTGCTGCTGACAACTACTACTCCATGTCAAACTTGTGTACCATTCCTACTTGAAGGGACAAATGATTGGCTGTTACATTATCCATCAAATATTATAAACTGAGTGAGAAATTGTATTTGACAGCAGAACTATTGGACATTTTCTCAAACAATAATCAGTTTGATTCCTGATTCAAAGAAAAAACAAAACTCATCATATAAGAAAGAAGTTTAATCATCGCTTCTAATTATATGTACATTTATAATCATCAGCAATAAACTTCTTTGCAAGTATTGATTCTGTTCAATTGACAGACATACTCACCTTCCTGCTAAATAATTGAAACTGTCATAAAATATTCAAATGTCATCTACAAGTCGGTGACAGTTCTAGTTAAGTACAGTTACTTTGCAATCTTTAGTCTTCACTCCACTGACATTTTTACCATTTTATTTATAAAATATGCTGAATTTGAATTATTTTTACAAATATTTATTACACCAATTTCAAAAACATATCAACCTACTTATGCCCTTAACTGTAGATGTATCATCTATATAATTAATACGCTACATGAAACTTTGTCGGTTGAACTCCTCCGCCATTTCTCAACCGATTTTATCCATTGACGTCTCATTGGAAAGAGCGGGTCGCGTAGATTTGCAAACTGTCCTTACATTTTTTTAAAGTCCCTCGGGCTCTGCCCCAGTGGCTGTTAAAGTTCTCATGTTATCCTTATGAAGAACATAATTGTTTATATTTTGATCAGCTGTATATAATTTAATTGTTGTTATTTATTTTTCAATTCAAAGTCTTTGGAAATCTGAAGATATGATGACTTATTTGTTTTTAAATATCTATTTTACTTCTATGCAATTGCTCGATTTCGAGCAACGTGTTTACTAGTTGAAATTTTACCACTTAATTCAAAAGCAAATACAGTTTTCTTCTGTGGGAAATGCTAAATATCAGTTGTATAATTAATTAGAATATTAATGTAAAATACACTATGAATGGACATCAGGTCTTTCGGAGTCGTTTGACTTTGAAATCCACTGTTTCATAGCGTCGAAAAAAGCGTTCAAACATCACAAACTTGAAACACAATTTAAGCTTCGAAAAACTAATCCATGATGTGCAATCTACTATTATAATAATGACATCTTAGACCATTATCACACAGATCTAAACAGGAAAATAACAACTCAGGAGTGATGATACAAAAGTTTACTCTCATCATATAAAATGTTTACCTTCACAGTATCACCAACAACGCGTAACAACCATTTCATGTTTTTATCATTAGTATTTTAAACTTCAAAAGCATGGACATTTAAATCTTTAAGTTTTAAGTCCTTTACTCATGAATTTTACAGAATGTAAAAATGAAAGTGCATGTCAAGTATTTATGATTCCTTACTATATCGTAGCTAATAATTAAACCCTTTGAACCACAGGAATTATAAATTTATGTTTTTCTATTTTTATACTTCCCCCACATTATGAACTCAAAATCCAATTAATTAGTAGGTTTTTGATTTACTCCCACATTACAAATAGGTAAAAAGTAGCAAATGCCAATTCAGAAGAGACGCTGTGCTACTCTCACCCATGCCAACCTCACTGTAATTTCTATACGAGCCGTCCTGTTACAGTTCTCGCAGCTAGTCTGGGCGCGCGGCCGCGCTAAGGCAGGGGGTGTAGAGGGGAGTGTTTATTGCACATTTCCAAAAACATTCGGCCCACACGGCACACTGGGATTGTTCAGCGCCTCACTGCTGTCTTCATGGCTTTGGCGTGGGGGACGGTTAGTACACAAGGGTCCGCGCGCCCAGACTAGCTGCGAGAACTGTACTTTTAGGTTGGCCTCTTTCATAAAACTCAATAACTGACTAATTAACTCCTTGTGACCAAGACGATTTGATTGGTTAGACAACACCTCAGTTTACTCATTATTAACAATATTGGTAGTAATAGCTAACTTCCATCATTCTGAACTTGCCTTTCAAGTTCTGACCAAATTAGGTTGTGGCCAAGCAAATAGTTGTAAGAGAAGGACTAAACTTTCTGTCACTCATTGGGCTATTAAATGTTTTTAGTTTACGATTTATAGTGCCAATTACTTAACAATTTGTAGTCAAATATTGATTTTTATGTCCTTGTGTAGACCTACTGCCAAAACCAAACACATTTTTCATTACACTACTTTTGGTTCAGCTGTTTTTGTTTTTTGTTTATCACCTACAAAACCTCACATTCACACACAGCTGTCCATTGTTTATAGTGGAAATTAAAACATTTTACTTTAGAAAATTGTCCACAATCAACTTTGCAACCTTAACTTCCGGAAGCTTACAGTTAATTTAAAATTGCACTTTAAATAGTAGACCTACTTTTTATTAAATGTCCCTAATTTAGTGAAAAGGTTAGTATTCCAATCATTTTCATTTAGTAGTGAAGTGAAAAATGACGATCAAAACTCATGTGAAAGTGTTTTTGCATGTTCTCGACCATTGGACATATACTCGACAAGTCCCGCACTTTAAAACATATGGCCTTTAACATTAAAAATCCCACTTTCCACACTTGTTATGAAATAAAGTTAAACTATTTGATTTAATTTAGCAGTACAAATGAAAATGATAGTGATAAATGTATTTGTAAACACAGACACAATTTAATTACCAATTAACCGACGCCTGTCGCTACCCGGCTGTAATACGATCATTACAGAGCTTTGCATCTAGTTATGTTCTAATTTTCCTACTGTTTTGCAATTCACACATACATTTTTCTAAGATTAAATTTTGACAATTTATCAGCATCACATAGCACTTGTAGGCCTAAATAATCTTATAGTTCTGCCAGGTAAACTGATTTAAAAAAATTATATTTTAGGTTTGAGTGGGGCTCTATTATTTCTGGGAAATATGAGTGCCCTTTTATCAGAATAAAGTATAATTCCACAGTCTGTACATTTCCGACATTTGAAATATTCCTCAGGGTTGACTTATCAAACTTCGGATTGAATGACAAGCATAATTGGTGGAATGAAAAAGTACATTAAAATAACTCATTTGGATATTTTTCCGTGAATATAAATTATATCTGTTAGGTAATTGTTGAGTTTTTCATTTCACTACAGATAATTTCAACTGATTCAACTCAACAATAATTTAACTATTGAAAATTTACATTTCAAATTACAATAATGAAACACGAAACTCCACAACAGTGTCAAAGCATTTAAACAAAACTTGCTGTCTTTAACATTTGATTTAGCGATGTAATCTAGCCTCTAAACAGTCAAAGAACTAAATGTTAATCACCTAGGCCTATAAACCTTCCAAAGAGTAACGGTACAAGAATATTGGTCAGATTTGATCATCTTCAACAGTCCTTCACGTGTATGAGATGTAAAAGGCATACAACTGAACAAAACGAACACAATAACACAAAACAAGTTACTTATCTCATTTTACTTTCATTTGATCATTTGAATAAGTAATAAATACATCTTTCCATACTTATACACTCTTGTCTGTTGCAGCAATTTTACTCCAAAATTTTAATAAAGAGATTTGACACCCAAAATACAGTTATAAGGTAAAAATGTACTTCCATAGTTGCCAAACGTCTCAAATATAAATTACTTTATTAAGGTTATGCTATGTTTGGCTTGACTGGGAACTACCTAAGTACACTTTTCACCTTAATTGAATGTAATTGTGTCGAATCCACTTAAACAAAAATTCTACTTTTGATGGACTATAATGAGTTGTTGTTTACAAAAGGCCAACAGTAAAATTACCACAGTTTAACACATAAAAAACCGGCAACTTATCTGTTCAACACAAAAACTTTAAATAAAAAATTCATTGAGACCTTTATATACAATAAGTTCACTTATTATTGTCTCTTACGGTTTAAAAAATTCAAATAAACTTTTGTTACAATTTTTCAGTCAAATAAAAGTAAAACAAGAGGAAAACTGCGAAACTAAACTAACAATTTGCTTCTGGATACCAAGACAGAATATAACACAATAAACCATATATTACTATAATGTACACAATGATATGAAACAATAACAAGACGTGTAATGGAATGGTTAGTATTTGTCGATCAGCTGATTGGTTGGTTTGTTTCTCCAATCCAGAGTGATGTTGTCCAGGTGGTTGTCAAAGTCTACGATGTCCTCTTGACAGCCTGTCTCCAGCAGTGTGGCCGCCGCGTCCTGACATGTCTCCGACAACATCCAACTGCGACATTAACACAGTGTAAACGTACACTCTTTGTTATACATCTTAAAGCCACGGTTACACGAAGCCAGTTGGCGGGCCTGTAACTTGAATTATTTTATAAGCAGGTAACCTACTTCTCTGTTGGCCTGGCGTGAACGCGGCTTAAACGCTTGTTTTCCTACCTGCTGAATTCAGTTGGCGAACACAGCTGCGTTTTTCAGCACCAACTCAACACATGACTTAAAGGGTCAGATATCTTTACCACATTTTAGAGTAATAAACCAGTTCAACTCAGAATTTTGATGGAAGGAAAATGTCTAGAAGAACTGCAAAATTTTCAATTCCTAGGACTTGTATTGGTCAAAAATTTAATTAGATAGAACCTTCATATTGGACATCTTAGACGTAAAATTTCATCAGGGATGTTTACTCTGAGAAAAATGTCAAAATTATGTCCTTTGGAAGAATTAAAAATAATTTACGTTGTTTTAATTCACTGCCATATCTCTTTTGGAATAATTGTATATGGAGCAACCTCTCAAGAAAATTTAGAACAAATATTATAATTTCATAAACAAGCACTTCGCATCATGTTAAAACATCCAAGATTGGAAAACCTCAGTTCAAGACAAATTTTCAAAACTTAGTATTCTTACTGTTTTTGCCCAATATATCTTTGATTTAATCTTGTTTGTAAAGAATAATTTAACAAAATTCGAAACCTTGGGTTCATGCCACAGCCACATCCAAGGTACACACATAAAATCAGTTTTTCAAATCACAACTTAAAATTCTTTGAAAAACCCCTTTATATGTCGGGATTAAGTTTAATATCCTTCTGCCTGATAATCTTGTACAAATAACAGACAAAATTAAATTTTAAAACCAACTAAACACTTTTTTATCATCCAAGCACGTTTATTCTCTAGATGAATTTGTTGGTCGACTGTGTTGTAAATTTGTAGGTTATGAGTTTTTGTATTATTATTTAGCCTTTTTATTCGTGGTTATTTTCAACAATATAATTTAATTGTACAACACCATTCTGGTGCAACATGTTGTACTCTTGTATACAGATTCTATGACTATGACTATAGGCGTTTTCCAAGCTACCGAATCCGGAAAGGACTGTATCACTAAGCTGTGAGACAGGCAACTACGTCAAGAGAGACAGACAGTCACACAAACTTCAGGGACATAGATTTTGGAATTTTTTTTGCATAAGTGAATTGAATCTGTTATACGTTTTGCCAGTGACTTAGTATTAACGACTTATATCGGCTAAATGGTTTCATTTCAGTTACCCGGTACTTTAAGTTCCCATATGGTCATGTCAATTTTGTGTTCGATACATCGGCCGTTGGAACTCAAAAGAGTTAATTATTGCTGGAAACATGATAATCTAGATTACAAACATTTTAAAATAAACCTGTTTCATACATCATTATATAAAATAAAATAATACATCATTTTAAATCACACAAAAAAACTACAAAATTACCTCGTCTTCTCCAGAGGTTTCCACTTGACGTCTGCGTACTGTGAAACTATTAACGCCGGTTCATCCATTAATAAATTCAACTGCCTGTTGTCAATCTACAAAAGAAAAAACTAAATTTAACATTGTATAAAATTCAGAATTACAAAACCTAAACTAAAACATTCTTCAGTTCTTAGAAGTATAGGTGACAGCCATCAAAATGAAAATGACCTATTGTAATCATAATCATGGAATTGTACTTTTATCTTTAGCATAAAGGCATTGTGTTTTTCTTCATCGTTTACTTTTTCAACTTCTGACTTCATTTTAATGTCTTCAACTCTCTTCTTTATAATTATGATAATCTGATATTTGAAAATTACTTGAGCACAGAGCACAGTGAAAACTTATGGAAAATGATACTTGATTTATTATTTAACCTGAACACATTGCTCATTGTAAACCACAGACAATGGACAATTTCTTTTAATGATTTGAAATCAAAGATTTAATTAAACATTCAACATGTTCTTAGCCCTACTAACTATTAATGTACAAAAAATGTAAGAGTAGTAATTTATACACGATTGAAAGCATACTAAATAACAATGAATGCAATGAGGTTGGTGTTAGGAGGGTGTGAGTGTGAGGACAGCCAATTTGCATATCCTCATTACTCTCATACTCATACTTCAGTACATAGATCAATGGTGCTACATGAGCTTTAGTCATTCTACTCAGTGTTACGTTGTATATATACCGGGTGTCCAGCCTAAAGTTTTCCAATAGCAAACTCTTCTTGGAAAACTTAAGGCATTTCTTATGGCGGAAAATAAACTTTAACCGTTAATATCTCCTTAACCATTGGTTTTATGAAAAAATACCTAAGAACAAAAATGTCTTAAAATAACCTGTAGTATCCAAAAACACCATAAAATACAGGGTGTTCCATAAGAAAAAACAAAGTTGTCCGCCATATTGAAAAATGGCGGCCATTTAGAAAAATTTTGAAATCACCCCAAAATGCAGAATAAAAAATAAAGGGAAGTCCCCCATAAGAAGTTGTTTGTCAGATTTAAAATTAAAAAGTTAACTATTGGAAAACTTTAGGCTGGACACCCGGTATATAAAATATAACACATTTACCACAATCCTTATTTTTACCACACATGCTCAAAAAGATTATTACTTCTATTTCTACACCAACTTTATTAATGTTTTTTTGATATTTTAGTGAACTCTATAGGGAAGTAGTTATTACTGTGGGTGGCATGGTAAGACATACTAAAGATAAAACATACTCCCTTGGTAGATTTCCCATCCTTATAGAGCAGCTGAAGCCAATTTTATTGTTAGTTCTGTCCGGTGTACTGTAGACGTTGTGTTTTGTTTTCAATTTGTTTCTCTCGTTTTAGGGTTAGTTTCTCATTATTTGTGCCTCACTGTTTTGTTATATAGCTAGTGGACGAGTTATTGTTTATGATTAGATAGTTTTATTTGGTTAAACAAGGTTTTAAATGAATGTAACAACAAGAAACAAATTGTAAACAAAACACAACAAATTGAAACTCTTAGTTTGCAGGTTTACTGATAGGGGGTTATTTAAACAATTTTTAATTGTGAAAGTAACTTTATGAGAATGTACTTACAACAACTAAACAAGCGGAGTTAAAATGTTCCGCTATTTTATCAGCTATTCTATTTGCAGGCTTATCTATACTGAAAACAAACAACAGACAATTAGTAAGCAAACATCACCACCTGAACGATTCAATAGGAGACATTTCTACATTTCCTCAGGCAAATTTACTTTTACAATACATTCCACTTACTCAAACAGACCCTCATGCGGGATGCGATTTGTAATGAGAAGAAAACAACCGATGGTTAACAACTTACAATGTAAAATTATGGTGATCAATGTATGTCATTAAATATCTACAAACAAATAACCTTTAATATATAAATTGCTAGAATAAGAACTGATACTGGGCTTGTCTAAAATTGACTGAATTTCCTAGCGCTCTAAGAAGAGTTTTTGTTCTGTTGTTGTATGAGGCCTAACTGTCATAAATGCTTATACTTTTAGTTTACAAAATAATGTACCGGTAACTAATGTTAGAATACCTGTGTCTAATCAAAATAGACAATTAGGTTAAGCCAAGATGGAAAATGATAACTGTGTTACTTGAATGAATATGATTTGCCACATTGATTGGAATGGCAAAACTGAAAAACTGAATTAGCATTGTCTGTTAATCCGTCACAATTTCCGCAAAGAACTATTCGGTACCATCAGGATCTAAGCGGGTGTTTTTTTTGTAGTAGCCTACCTAATATTTAAAGAGACAACTTATTGTTTGTTAAAAAATATATATATAAATATATATGAATAGGCTACTGGCTACTACTAAAATATTAAAGACTAACCTGGTGTCTCGTAAATTCTCGTTGGCTACGTAATACCCTGATACGACTAGGCCTTCCGAACTAGCCCAATGGTCAATCTGTAATAATGCAAATGTGTTAGACAACAGTTACACCAATACTACAGACTAAGACCTTAACGTAGTTAGTGAAGAATAAACTTGAAATTCCTTTGCAAATCTGAAAACATTTTTTTTATAATCTCTCAATTTACACAAGTCAAGCAGACTAACGAGTAACTTGAAAGGAATTTTTTAACATTTGCCTACAAGTAAAATAAAGCATAGAAAAGGTTTGGGAGACAGAAAAACTTGCCACTATGTTTCCCCAACTGTGCATACATACATTACATTACTATAGATCTAACGGAAATTTTGAGATAACTGTACAAAATAAAACGATGGTGGTTTGGTTAGGAAGGGTTTGCGAATGTGCATCACACTCGCCACAACTAAATGATTTGATCTATAACAAACATTTAAAACTAATACAGATTCAGTACCATAACACCCTGAATCACAATAGATACACTGCTGTTTTTGAGGGAACCAATCTGGTCTACTGGAGAAGCTCGGGGCTTTGGTGTCCAAGAACCTGTGCTTCAATTTTACCAATATCTAAATAGCTTTATGTGTGCTAGGTTATTATTTAAAGTAAAGTTTAACTTTAACAGCCTAAGCTATCACTATCGTTCAAACTAAATCCCCTTGTTTGTATGGTAAAATGTTTAAATAACAAGTTACAAATCACCGATTTGACAAATTCTGAACAAATCAACTTTTGGGGGGGAGGGGGAGATAAAACTGAACAACCACACGCTTTGATGACCTCAAACTAGGCTCATGTTACCTTTTAATTCTGGCTCACGCAAAACTTGGGGCAGCTAATCTATGATATTTGTTGAGAGCAATCTCAGGCCTGAAAAGTCTCCTAGAAAGCTATGCATTTCCAGAGTGGTGTAAAACTTTAGGACTATCACGTTTGTGATCTCAGAGCCATCAGCTATATCAGCGACAAAAATTGAAGGACTGTAGGTACTCCTTTTACAATTTAATCATTTTTACACTTATATCTTTTAGAATAAAAAAGAACTAAATGTCTAATTTTTTTGCAGGTCAATGGAGAGGCCAATTGTTCAGAAGAAATTGTGCGAGAGGGTTACATGCCTATAAGACAAAGTAAATGGAGAGAGTAGGTAGTCTACATAGCAATAACTTCACTTTCTACTTCTTTAAACCATTAAGAATCTTGATGGTAATCTTGATGACAGTTGATACTTAAATAAGTAGTCAGTCAATTTATGGTGTTATATTTGATCTCTTAGCATTTCGGTCTCATAAGTAACCCAACCTTTTTGAATGAAATATAAATCCCATTTCGGTCCCATAAGTAACCTTTTTGAAGGAAACATAAATCCCGAAACAATCAACAACTCAATTTAAAATTAATACCGCTTTTTGATCAAAGTTTACTTCTTGGTTAATCAAAACCACTTTCCTAAACTAGAAATTTTAATTTTAGTTTTCTTAAGAGAACCAATTGGTTTGTAGCAGCAATCGATCTAGAAAGATTCAATTTCTGACAGAATGTAAGACTCGACTTTTCTTTAGCTCAGATAATGTTTTATTTGTAGCTTGGAAACTAAACACGTTCAATACTGAAAGATAAGTTCTTCAATTGCCTTTTAAGAATTCAGTGTAGATAGATAGGGTTGTAATTTAGTATGAAGTAGTTCATTGTAATGCCAATAGCTCAAAACTGAGAAGAAAATACTTAAGCTGAGTTAACGTAATCTGTGTTTGTCTGTAAAACATTCCACTAAACTCTCATTGGTAGAAAATCACATTCAAATAGTTGATTACTCGTTGATTACTAGTTGATAATTTTGATTTACTTACAATTTTGAGCAAGAGGCATACAAAAGGCCTATTGATAAACATATCAATTATAAATATATTTTAACCCCTTAAGTGACCTCTTAGGGTAAGCCAATCTCTCTAGGAAAAAAATTTAGGTAGCCTACTATTCTTAGTCAATAGTTAACAGCACCTAAGACATCTTGCCTAATAAATACAAATTACGAGAAATGATGAGGTGTTGGCTATGGGCTTACTTATCAAATTAATTGTCTACGGATTTATATAGTTAATTCATTTTCAGCAAATCTTTACTTGATACAGAGTATTTGTCTAAGTTCCAATATATTTCTCCCCTCAGTTTCAACTAAATAGTTCCTAAACTTGATTGCGTAGGTGCTATTCACCACAACACTACCAAACTGAACCCTCTCTCGTAGTAAACCTAGTACATTTTATGAACAAATTTTCCTATTGTTTAGTTAGTAACTTATAGGTAAGCAAAGAAAATATTACATACTTAGTACACATTTTATCAACATATCCTACCTAATGTTTAATAGGCAAGGAAAACCTGGCTGTGGTAGTAATAGCTCTTGTATAAACTGTGATAGGTAAGAGGAAATTGGTTTACCACCAGTGTTTTTAAGGAGTTATCAAAATTTATGTTTAGTGACAATTTGATTGTATATGGTACGTAGCTTATCGGATTTACTTTAAGACTTTAAGTTTTAAGCAATAGCTTAACAAATTGATAGTTTATCAGCAAATTTCGGTTGTGTTTGAAACTTCCATACAAATAATTTAATTAGTTGTGTAAATGATCAAATATTCAGAAATGCACATTTTTCCCCCTTTTAAAGTATATTTTAAAATCCTTTAACAGCTTAATTTTGGGATTAAAACGGACAGATTTTCCTTCATATTTAGGGATGTACACGACTATTTCCAAACATCCTTGTGAGCCTACTAACAATAGACGGTAGACCAGACTAGCTTTTAAAACTTCCTTGAAGCTATGGACATAGGTGGCTAAATGCCTTGTCCAAATAAGAGAAAAATATGATACGTTGTAAACGTTACATATTTACTATCAATTTAAAACTTATTTGTTTAAAGGATGTTACATTAACATAGCCTAGAATGATATAATATATTTCTTATTATGGATTAAAAATCTTAAGAATTTGAACTGTCCTATTCTATCGACTTTAATCCTATAGCCTACCAGTAATAATTGAAAACTTATGACCAATCAAATTTAGATTTATTCAATTCACTATTTTTAGAATTTTAATAATACAGCTTTAAATCAAATGTTTAGATGTAGCCTAAGTTTAAGGAGGATTTTCAATGTAAGTTGCAACAGTAGAACTCTTAACTATTGTAAAATCTCCCAGAACATTTTAAGGGGTATGTTGCTACCTTAGTAAATAGTGTATTGGACTTTGGTACCGAAGGGGTAGTTTGATTCTCGTCATATGCGATATTAGTCTACGAAAACCAGGTCAGGGACCGATGTGGCGCAATATGAATCATGCTTTAATGCGTACATACCTGTGCCATTGATTTGTTTTCCCGCTGAACATTCTGTTGAACGGATGTTTCAGCTAAGGGATCAGGGTTAACTATAAGTAGGCTAGGCCAGTTTTTTTAACGTAACGAAACGCACATAGGCCTATCTTACAGTTTCCGGAATCTGCCAATGATTAAAATTTTCAGATATGCAACAAGCGTAAGTTTGTTACAATACAGCTTGCTTCAATCTCAATCTATTTACATTAGTGAGAGTTCTGCTGTTTTTATTCAGGCCTATTTAATATTAGCTAGATCGACTCATAGTATAGTTACGTACGGCTAGTAAAACTGATTTAACTTAGGTAATTTTGTTGTTGTTAGGCTACTATGTTTTACCGGTAGGCCTATCTAGTTTTATTTTCTTGGTCAAACTTGAACCTCATTTGTTGTTGACTTTGTCATATGCATGTACCTTGCAAATTACGGCAATAAAAAGTTTCTGATTTCTGATTTCTACTAAAACTAATTCAATATGATCATTATTAAATCAATTGTCTTCAGTAATAATGCATTGTTCTTTTCCAACTTGTGTTTAAACATGATTAATGTGGGCTTACTTTTATGTGAAAAGCATGAAACCAGATCAAAGACACCAAAGTTTGTAGGATATATTTGGTGATTTTGTTATGATAACCCTAGGCAGAGACGCTTTAAAAAACGGGCCCGGGCCCGGGCCCAGGGGCGCAAGGTTTTGGGTTTTTTTCGAGGCTCAAGTAACAGAAAATATTTTTGGAAATATTTAAAACATTTTGCAAATATTTTTCAAATCCGTCCCACTTGTGGGTCTCACCATTGACTATACAAGTCAATGGTCTCACTTAAGACTCATCACTGCCACTAGTTGCATGTTGCTACTATCAACACATTGTGTTAATAGACCTGTATCAATGGTTGCTAAAGCTTACTTGTTCGTCGCCTCATCTCTTTAGTTTTTAATGTCATTTTTTAATTACTCACTAGTGTCAGTTCCTTTGTTCAAATGTGTGAGAAACGTTTCATCAGTGCTGGTGAATTTAAAGTTATTGTCATGACTTAGCTTAAGATTAGTTTAATGTTCAACGTGATTCTTTATTAACATTGTCAAATCATGGGCACTGTTTCTGTGAAATTAAAAAAACCAAGTGACAGTGAATTTATAAAGAGGGCGGCAAATAAACATTTGGATAGGAGTGACTCTTTTCGACCCGAGCTCAAGTTTTACGATCAAGGCGAAGCTGAAGTTGGAAAATGAGCAGGGGTTGAAGAGACAGTTTTGGCCTGTGAGATGAACTAACTTATATTTATTATCAGATTGAAGATAGAAAATAAAAATAACTTACTTTTCATGTAAAAATTACCTCTTAAAACAACTTGCAACTTGTTTTCAATTGTGCTAAATGCAAAGTCAGCCATTTAGTAAGTGGTTCAATCACTTGAGAATGTGTTCATGTAACTTATACTATCGATATGCAGAACTACCGACAAGAATGCAGTAAGTTATAATAAACAGATGGAATCAATCGATACATAACTTACTTGAGTTAATTTTGATAGATCTACTTGCAATTGCTTACAATTGAAGCTTACAACAGCTGACTTTACTCCCTAGGGACCAAAAAGGCTTTTTACTTTCTAGGGAGTAAAAGAGCTAAGACTTAAGTTACTTTAGACCCACAATGCATAGGTAGCCTAATAGACAATCATCTGCTTTTTTGCTGCAGAAGGCCTATGACAAAAAAATGTGTTGATCATGTGTAAGTTTATCAAATGTGACCGATAAAAATGAAGTTTGATGATATAGGTACGGTAATTGACGAGTTTGCAAACAAACAGTTTTATTTGTGCACTACAGTTAGGTAGCACAATAACTTCCCCTGGATTTAGTAGGTAGAGTCCTAGAGAGGCTAGGTAGCGTAGGGAATGTCCAGCTTGTTTCTATGTCTGGTGTTGTGAGAATGAACCATAGCGCAGTACATAAGGTCTTGATGCTTATCCCAGATATGAAGAAGGCACAGAAGAATGTGGTGGCCAAAGATAGTGGGTATTACCAGGCTTACAATAAGGGGCAAAACTATGAGCCCAGCTCTCACTAAAGGTCATGATTCTGATGGCCTTTTTTTAATCTTGAGAATCTTTACTGTGCCTAAAGAATTCCCTCTCTACACTATGTATATATATATATATATATATATATATATATATATATATATATATATATATATACTAAGTTTAGTCCTCTGTAGGCCTAGCCTACCCTGAGGAAATTTTGTTTCTGGTCCAAAAGTAAAGTTAGAAAAGATCAAATAAACTCAAAGAGCTCATTGCTGTTGTTAAAAGGAATTAAGTTACTTACTTTAGCCTACACAAAATACTTTCTAAATTAAATATTCTTTTTAAACTACTCTACTGAAGACGACAGGCTTGTCTACCTTCAAAATTTTCATATGAATTTTCAGATGAAACTACTAACCTATCTTGTAACTTATCTACAGTAACTTAGGCCTACTTATAATAAACTTAACTTAGTAGAGGGATAAAACTCTTAATATAGGTACCGAGTAATACGGCATTTTAAATCATAATACTTATCACACAAGGCATAAAGCCTATAATCTAATTGACCCTAATTAATTGAGCCTATAAATAGGACGAGCAAAAGAACCAACCTGTGTTAAAGCTATCTCCGCCATAGGCGATACATGTAAACACTGATGAAATAGTGGCACAGCATCCAGAAAAGCAATATTTTGGCTTTTCTTGGAGTCTTTGGATTTGGAGCACTCTGATAATAATACACCATTCACTGCACAGTGGGGATATTTTGCAGCATGTAAAATCATTTTACAATAGGCACGAGATGTAAACTTTACGTCTGCCATGATTACTACTAAAAATCAGATGCGATGCAGACACAAGACACAACAGTCCAGTCACTTCACTTCACTCGAGACCTGTCCCGTCAGGTGAGCAGTTTTTCCTAGCGCCAGGCAGGGGGCAAATTTCAGTTTCTCATATCGAAACCTAGTATCATAGATTAAATACTGAAACTCCCTAATAATGTCTGTTAAATGATCTGATCTTACCGTATTACATTAACTAAATTGTTTACTATTTATACTGTACTGACTGTGCAGAGCTATATTATTTACATGTATGTTTTAAGTTGCAATAAATTTCCCATATCGTAAGCTATTACCGTAGTATTAGGCTACTGCCACCTTTTACTCCGCCGTGATTAGGCTCGGGACCAATTACTTTATCGTTATAATTTGCTTAGAGGTATAAACCCATCCGTTCAAAATCATGTGGTATGTATTAAGGCGGGGGCTCATTTTAAGTTATTGTGTTACTTTTATTTGTAGAAATAGAGTTTAACGAGATTTGAGTATTTATCTCAACCACAGACATATGTTAAATAAACTGGTTAAGTTATATGATTTTCCACCACAGTATGATAACATAATAATGCATTGTTAATGAACGCGACATGTTGGAAAATATTCTTGGACCTTCATTTCTCAACAAATCAAATAACCCATTGCAGATTATTTCAGCAGTGCCTTACTCTAAACAGACTGGGAGAGAGTAAAAAATACTCCTTAAAAGATGGAAGCAGCCATCAACATTTTAATCAAGCAAGATAGAGATTAGGTATGAAGGTTTTTTTCTAGTATTCGTTTCGTGGTATGAATTGTAGTATTGCCACGCTTGATGTATTTTATCAGCATTTTAGCAAAGTTCCTATACAGAGTGTCCCGTAAGTAAACAGCCAAACTCCGGGAAATGGTTCTATAGGTAAAAATAAAGAGAAAATCATGAATAACATTTTTTTCAAAAATCGCTTCTTATTCGATCTTTTTGAACTTGGTATCGTTTGATGAAATATCGGGGAATTAAAAATACAAAATAAAACTTTTCTAAACTTTTCTTTTTTTTCATAAAATTAGCCGGTTGATTTGAGTAATTTAAGTTAAAAAATTAATTACCACCATTTTGAAGTTTAAAGTTGAATCAAGATGGTTTTTTTTTCTAGCATAGGTCTTCTACCTTAACCTACATACCAAGTTATATAAAGATCGGTTGAAAAATTCCAAAAATAAAAATGTTTATATAAAAAAATACTTAATGACGGATATCTGGTTAACAAAGCGATTTTGGAAAAAAAATTGTTCATGATTTTCTCTTTATTTTGACCCATAGAACCATTTCCCGGAGTTTGGCTGTTTACTTACGGGACATTCTGTATATAGGGAATAAGCTATTACCATAGATAAAACATACTCCCTTAGTAGATTTCCCATCCTTATGGAACAGCTGAAGCCATTTTATTGTTAGTTCTGTCCGGTTTTCTGTAGATGTCGTGTTTTTTAGAGTTTGTTTCTTGTTCAGTAATTTAAAACCTCGTTTAACCAAATAAAACTATCAAATCATAAACAATAACTCTTCCACTACCTATATAATCAAACAGCGAGACACAAATAATGAGAAACTAACCCTAAAATAATATAAACAAATTGTAAACAAAACACGACATCTACAGAAAACCGGACAGAACTAACACTGTCCCATAAGGATGGGAAATCTACTAAGGGACTATGTTTTATCATAGATTTGTTTTATCTATGATTAAACATACTTCTTCAGGAGTATGTTTTATCTATGGTTTAATCTATGGTTTATCTATGCCAGTTGCTATGCCATTTTCCTATGCTATTACCATAGATAAAACTTAGTCTATGCTATTACCGTAGGTCTCATGGTATGACCTGGACCTGGGACCGATTTACTTTTTCGTTTTGATTTGCCCAGAGACCAAAAACACCATCCAAAGATTATTTGAACTACATGTCTTATTAAATATTATGTTGTAGTCTGTAACAGGGCCGGGGATAAGGCCTGGTTGTCTGTAAAATATATATTTATGTAATTGCTTTTTATGTGTATTTTATCTGTAAAATGTGACGCAAGCCATGCATGTAAATATGTTTCACGGTCGAGTTTTAACAGGCAATAAAGAAATATTTGATTTGATTTAATCTGGGATCCCATGAAAAAGTGGCAAATTATTTACCAACTTGATATTGTTACATGTGTGATTGTAAAAAATCTTCCAATACAAAATTTCAAGAGAACAGCGCTGTTGAATGTTTGTGTATTTTCCTTGCCTAAAAGAGAGAAATTGAGTCTGCATGTCAACTCGGTTCGTTTGGCAGTTGTTGTCTGTTAGTTGTCTGTCAGTTGCAGTTCAGTTCAGTGTTCCTCTGTTCCAGTCAGCGTCAGCGTCAGGCCAGGCCCAGTTGTTGTACAATTTGATTTATGACTATTTGTTGATCATCATTAACTTCAAACCACAATCTACAAGCAAATTAACACAGTTTATTTGTATTTCTGTGAAATTTTAACATTGTATCCAAGATCATATTAAGACATCATTGATCTTGTGGATAATATGGGCTCTTCAATCTACTGTCTCTAAATGGGCCATTTAAACTTTTAAGCAGTAGGTTTAGGCCTAACCATAACCTTATAATTAGTTATAGCCTACCTAACATAGTTTAGGCGGTTTTTTTAAACACCTTGTCATATTTTTAAACATGGATTTAAGATCTTCAAGACTACACACTTATGAAACTGGAGATGATATCTTGTGTAAGTAAAATGATAATCTATACTCTTAAAAACCTAACCTAATAACTTAGCCTACCATATTCAAAGAGATGGTTGCCTAGTTTAGTTTGACCCTATCTAAAATGGTATGATAACTATAGGCTATGCACTTAGTAATCCTTGGCTGCTCTAGTTGCAACTAGTTTTGGGTCTTAATCAGAACTATTATCAGTACAGGAAGACAAGGAGTCAAGTAGGCTAACTTAAGCTTGGTCACTTCATTTGAAGGTTGTCAACAGAGTTCAATAAGTAAATAACACACACACATGAGAAATGTAACCATAAAACAGTCACACTTTAACCAAAAACACTAGGCCCTAACGGTAAAAATGTACAACCCACTTTTCATGAGTTGCATGACTAAGCATGTAAATCTAGCATAATTTGATCAAATTAACTATTCTATTCCCAGTCAATAAGAATAATGTTTGGCAAAACTTTGATCTCCTCCAACATCGTTTGATTGAACAGTCAAAGTATTGTTTCAAACTAATGGAGGCTCCTTATAAATACCTTAACTAAAACCCAAGACTCTTCTAGCCTATAGACTGTACGGTAACAATTTATGATAACTTACAATTGTGTCGTATATCAAAGTTCAACGATCACTAGGGCCAGCTTTGTGAGTCAATCAATTTTAAGCTATATTTATTGTTTAATATTCAGTTCCAAAATTGTAATTAATAATTTTATTTTTTCAGTGTATGATGATGTTGTTTCACACTATGATGAGAGTCAGGCCTACATAAGTGATGAGAGCTTCGTCCCAGGAAGTGAACATTTTGTTACCCCTGAGTACGCAGATGGTGAATTTCAAGAGCGAAGAACTATATTGGCTGATGGTGGGGATCAGTTTGGAGTTACAGCTGTCGCCTTTGACAGTCAAGAAGAGCTGCTTTGGATGGGAAATCAAGGAGTTAGTATTGTTTTGTATTTCTGTAAAACCTCGTAGTTTATGCAACGATCGTTAAAATTTTACGTATATAAGAGAACAAGTGTCTTTAGGTCTAATTACGATAGTTCGTACACTACTTTATTCAAGACTGCTTTTTTAATAACTAACAATCACTATCTTACTCATAACGTCTAAGAGAGGTTATGTTTTCATTTATAACCTCTCACTGCCAATGACTGTGATGCAACAATGCATTGCCCCAATTACTCTTCAATCATTATATAATCCATTAGATTGCCCTTAACAGCTGACAAGTTAACGTTCGAAGTATTACAACCTTAATTCTTTTCTCTCAATCCTCGAACCGCAATGGTCCAAACTTGTACTGTAAAGTGTGATAACAAAACAATTCTGAGAAGTGAATTGAATAATAGGGGGTAGCTACAAAAAGGGTCGTAGGTAAAGACCTAACCCATTGGCGCCGACTTACGAGCGTTCCTCGTACGGCTGCTGCATTCCCGTCGGCCAACTTACGAGTGCTGCTCGTGTCACAGCTACGCAGCGCCATTTAGTTATTTTATTATAATTTCCCAACCTTTTTGTTTCTTCTTACTGTTATTATGTTTATAAATATCTTGCTTCTTGTTTTGTGTAATACTAATTTTTTTGCGAATAACAATGTTGCGTTGCCATGGAAACCAGATATCACCAAAAAATCAGCTGCGGTAAGGTAAACAAACAAGTTTTTTTCTATGTTATTACTTAAAAGTAGGCCTAATACAACTTGTGATTTTCCTACGTAGGGAATCAATTGAACTAATAATTAGTAGCCTAGTGTCATTTGGTGTCTGGATTAATCTCGGCATTTGTAAATCAAGTTTACTTAAAAAAAATAGTTTTTAAAATTGTTATTTTATTTTTCTAATTTTTGTTTTTTTTAACACTTTGACTATACAATTAGGCCTAGGCCTACCACTCTTTTTGTAGAAAATTTTAAACTGTAAACAAAATGGTAAAAGAATTATTAAATTTATTACCTAAGGTTTTCTTTCTATAATAATTAGAGTAAAAGTCTACAAATTCGATAAAATTAATTGCCGACAGAGCGTGTTGTAGGCAGCGCATTAATTCCTGTCCCCAATGGGTTAACAACATTGCCTAAGTTAAGTTAGGCTAAATAATAGTGATAGGTTATCTAAAATTATAACCACAGAATTAAATAATCTAGAGTCAATTTTAATCAGCATCCTTGATCAATAAAACATATTTTACAGGGCCATGTTACCTCATACTACAGCTCCGAACTTCAGAAACACACCTCTTTCCAAGTCCATGCAACTGAGGATGTCCGATGTTTACACACTTTTGATAACGGAGTGTTAGCGTTGATGCCGAGTGCATTGCGCTGTCAAATGCGCAGAGGAATCCCCATTTTTACTCACAGGTAAGGTTTCATGAACATAAATTCATAAACTTGATTTTTATTTTCTTGTTGGTTATGAAATGACTGAGTTAAGTTAGTGTAGCTGTGTATAGTCAATTACGAGGGAGAAGCGAGCTGGTGTTACAGTGGTAGAGCATGTGGCTTTGGTCCCCAAGGTCCTGGGTTCAAATCCCGCCAATCACCTATGTGATTTAGATTCAGTAACTTGGTTGAAAAGCAAAAACTGTCCATTTTGCTTCCACTAGATCCATGGTAAGACCTCATCAATAAATTAGTTGCAATGTAGGCCTATTTATTGTAGCCTACCTAAAATTGTTTGTTCATAATTGATGAATTCTTACCAATACAGTATGGCCTATTTTCATATTATTTAGTACTCATAACGGGAATAAGATACTTTAAAGGGTGTAGCGTATGCTGAACTACAACAAAACCATAGTAGCTTTTAAGTACTTATCCCAGCATAACATACTTAAGTAAAGTGTCTAGTTTTGTAGTTAGACCAGGACTTCTTCCTGGAGGCTAAGGTCCCAATCAATCAATAGCTTACCTATCTAATTATTCCATGATCTAGTGACCATCTTACGTTGTAGGTCTTGTTGTCTAATACACAAAATAGGATAGTTTCTCGCAGATCATGAACTTTCTCGGTTTTGGAAAACTCCTTCCCCTTGAAGCTATTTCATAATTGTTTTTGGTTTGTCCAGCTCAGAGAACATGGTCCAGATGCAATGTTTGCTGCAGTTGTCTCCTCAGACTCTGCTTCTCGGAGGTCACACTCACAAACTCATTGAGTTTGATCTGAACAACTATCAAGAAGTCAACCTGGTAAGGAAATAGTGATTACTTTTTCAATTTAATGCATTAAGGAAGAAGAAGGAATGGTACACAACTAGCTTACCTACAAAATAGTCTAAGTAGTAACTGGAACATAAGGTAGCTAAAAGCACATCAAAACTTCACAACACAATAAACCTGATGTCCACAAGAGGCTTTGTTAGGAGAAAAGTTGAATTACAGTTACAAAACTGGCACTATTTGAACTAAGTGGCAAGAATGTTTAGGTTAGTTGAGATACTGCCAGTTTTGTATCATTAAAATTCTTTTTATGAAGAAGTGTCTTGTGGTGGTGAAATATCAAGTTTTTGTGCCGTTATCTGTTTTTGTGTGCTTTTTAACTACCTTGAACTCTTAGGTAAGTTAGTTATGTATCCATTTCTTCTTCCTTAATGCATTCCCAAGCCGAGTGCTTTTTCTTCCAAAAAACATTTTCCGATTAAAGAAATCTTAATAAAACAGCATTAATCTCATACTACTATCTCTAGAGTTATTGAAGGCAATGCATATACATTCCCCCGTTGTAGTTAACCTCCAGTCTAAGAGACATATAGTTGCTATTGTGTTCACTTATGAAGGCCTTAAAAATAAATGGACTGTGAATTGAACTTGAGTTCTACAAGTGTTGAGGGAAGACCTTGTAGAGCTATGACCATATAGTCCTACTAAAAATATAATGTCAAGCCTATATTTTTCACAGCTCAATTTTCACACATACGATTTAGTACACACAATGTTATTGAATTTATAGATTTCAATACTAAGAATAGAAGGAGAGAACTAACGGTGCTACAAAAATGATGATAGGAAGCGATGCGGTAACTAGCAATGTTTACATTTTAACTCTATTGTTGGCCATGGAATTTGTAAAATTGGAATTTAAAGCGCACTTGTTATGTAACAGCTGGACGTAGGCAAGAACGGATGTGCCATACTGCGCCAACACAGTCGCTACATCTGCTGCGGAGATCCCAGCGGCCGCATAGAGCTGAGGGCTCCCAACACTCTACGGGTGGAACACTCGCTGGAGGCTCACACTGGGAGTCTGTCTGACTTTGACATCCACGGCAATCTGCTGGTCACCTGCGGCTTCTCTAACAGGTATGAACTGAACAATAATTTGCATCCTTCATACCTTCACTCCTGTGGTCACTCTAATCCAAATTGAATTTAGTTCTCTGCCATATCCACTTATCCCCTAATTCTTCTTATTCCAGCCACTTGGTCGCACCATCTTAATCTTGGTCTGTCAACCTTTCCACACCCTTCTTATTGTTGCATCCTCCTCTTTTCTTCTCACATGACCAAGCCACCTAATTCTCCTACTTCTCATATCGCCACATTACATGTTACTATTCTCTATTTCAGTATTCTCCAAAACTCGTCTTGAAATATTGGTCCAAGAAATACAAAAATTAGAATAGGCATAAACAGTGCAGCGCTCCAGTTCTCTTGTATGACACTAAAAAACAGATCCAGAGGAAGATTACTTTTAAAAACAGTGAAGTTTGAATCATTGATCTACAAAACTTTTTTTCATGAGGAAAAATTCCATACATGCCTTAGATCTGCTCTTGTATACTTACTACTACTAACCCTTTAACTTATATGATCACTTTAAAGGCAATATGTAAGGTTTATTTTCTTTTAACCCATGAACAGGGCCATTTCCCTTATGAGCAAGTAGGTCATGGCCTAAAGCTGAAAATATCCAGTAATTTTTTATAAATATTAATGTTGTAAAATGAAAAATGCCTAGGAAAGACTTATTTCCTGCCCCCCTGGACAGTTCTTCATTGGACAGTACTGGTTGGGGGGTGGGGGCAGATCTTACCTACCCTATGGGTGGCATGATAAATGCGACCCTCCCCATGAAGTCCGCCTTTAGGAAGAGCTTTCATGTATAAATTTATTCAAACAGATCTAAAAGTCATCCATAAAATTTAATGAACTTTTTTACTTAAGGGGGAAATACATCCTAGATGTATCATGGGTGTTGTAGATATACTGCCTGATTATGTAAATTAAATTAATCTACCTACTGTTATCAATCAACTAACGAATATAATGTTCCCAGACAAAGCGGACTGGTGGTGGACAGGTTCCTGATGGTTTATGACTTCCGAATGATGCGAGCCGTCAACCCAATCCCCCTACTGTTGGATCCACTGTTGTTGAGGTAGGAATATCATAGTTTTCAGAGAGTTGTGTAGTCTTTTGATCACTGTTTGATTTAAATTTGTTTAAATACCTGCGTAAAGTAATCCTTGGATATTAACCTAAAGTATTTACCCAGGTATTCAAACCATTTTAAAATATTGTAGTTGTTTGACACTTAGCAGAAGCAGAGTGTTTTGTAGTAGAGAACATCTAGTAATTGTTAGGGAAATGTTTGAAACCTTGAAAAAATTAACATATTAAAAGTTGAAGTGTTGACTTAGATTCTGTAGTAGACATCCCATCTTTATGGACCAACTGTCGCCAAGGCCATAGTTCTGCGAGTCAGTCATAGATTACGCTAGTGTCTAAAATTCTATTTTCTACCTTATTTTTTGTTACCGAGATCATTCATGCAACACAAAATATGCTATAGCTTACAGTTGATTGTATGAACAGTTTGACTTAGTTAAAAGTCTGAATATTCTACAGAAATTAGTAATTTTAAAAGTGTAATCGGTCGGCTCACTTCAACTACCACCATTTTAACTTAAAAACTGGCGAGAAATATTTACATGGGGATGGAATGTCTTGTTCTATGAAGATTAAAGATATTCATAAAAAAAATTTTAACATAAAAAGTGCAAAGTACATTTTAATGTGAAATGTTTTTAAGAATGTTATAAAGTTTATGATTATCTGTTGACAGGTTTATGCCTTCATTCACCTCACGCATTGCTGTCGTCTCAGCCATTGGACAGCTTCAGCTGGTTGATACTGTACCTCTGTCTGAACCTGACCTCACTGTCTACCAGGTAATGGAATACAGTAGAACACCATTGAATTTATGTTTGAGGAATGCTACATTTTCATTTAGCAAGTCAGGTATTCAAAATCTGGAGTCTACAGACAACCACTCCTTTTTCCTTGCTACGCACCATACTCCTATCCCCCACTCTAAAGTAAAGAGCTTAGTTGACGCAAAGGCTGTAAGAAATTTTATTTCTTGCTAGAAAAAAAAACATGGGTTATTGACAGTCCGAATTATTGACGTTCTGTAAATATTTTACTAGTTCCATTTTTACCACATTAGTTAGTTGTAGTTCTTTTAATCAGACATCAACTTACAGGTTAACAGTGGAAATTCCCTGTCTCTCTCCCTGGATGTGTCCACGTCCTGCCAAGCCCTAGCTATAGGAGACTCTGGGGGAAGTATCCACCTGTTCTCGTCTCAGAACACTTCCGTCTTCAACAACTTCTCACAGCCGACAGAGTTTGCCGACCCCATAGAGCCTGTAGATTATATAAGCATCACTGACTCACTGGCTATCTTGTCCTCTATTCCCCTCATTTATACCAATCCTCCCACTACCACTCTGTCGGATTGGCCTAAAGAGTTCCTCAAGAATGTCTATCGGTGAGTGATAATTATTATATTCATACTGATTTGTTATGCGAATTTGTTGAAGCAGTCAAGTCTAGCGTAAAAAGTAGTTTTGAAACATATCTGAAGAGTTGTAGCTCATATACCAAGTCTAGGAAGGAGGGAAACGTAGGGTAGTACTTTGCTGATAGAGCTAATAGAATGATAGTTAAAACTTAAATTCTAGCGGCACACACTTTGGTACGTATTTAAACTGAATATGAATGAAGGGTGAGTGTAGAATGGAGTGAGATGATCTGTGTAGCTTTGTTACTGACTAGGGCCAGCTGTTTCATATGCCAGATAATTTAAAAGCCTAATTAACAAGCTGGGTCTAGTCATACTGTAAAGTCACCTTTACACGACACCAGTAAACCATGCAGTTTATCTGCCTCTAGTGTATTTAAAGTATCATTATTTGTGGTTGGTAGCCTGCCCATAAAATGACTTTGTTTGAACACAGCTTTAAAAGGTTGTGGTGCTCGATAGAATAAGTTTTTAAGTAATCTAACATTGATGGTGAGGATAGACTTACATTTTGCTTTTCTTATTGTTTCCAGCCCCACGCCTCCTATTGATCCAGAAATACTGAGGACAATGAAGATGCAAGGCACAATCGGTTATGCTCCAAACCCCAACACCAAGTTGCGAAATCAGGTTAGTTTTTTTAAGTAGTTTATCAAAATAGTTGTTTAAACAAGTTTGCTTCAATTTTTAAATTAACTGCTACGGTCCTAAACTTATTTTTATTTTTGTTAGTCACTGGTAATAATCAGTTTAGAACTAAACTACATCAATGTCTTTCCACTAAATGGTTTCAAGCAGCAAAATTTAGTTAAAACTACAAAAGGCTATACAAATTTTATATGTGGTTGAGTGAATGATTGAGGTAAATGTTGGAGGTAAGCCAAGTGACTGATTAGGATTTCTTTTAACTGATAAAGTTCAACTAACTTACCACTATTACCAGTAAAAATTAAAGAGTCCATAGGTCAATAGATGCACAATAAAAGGCCACACAACACAAAACTGGTATTTTGTTAGAATAAAGGACTTAGCCTATTCAGAGAGTAGAAATCAATTGTATTTATCTCATACCAGCTATTCTAGCTTATCATTCTAAGACACACACTACTGTGTTTAGAAACCTCATTTTACCATTATCCAACAGATTATTATACACATTTCCCACGAATGGTTGCGATAATCTAAACTCGCCATCACCAAAATTAAATTCAAACAAAGCATTTTCACCATTTACATTGTTTATTGTTTCATCTGGAGACTGCTAAAACAATGATACTCTACAGGTGCCGTACAACAGTAAGAATGGAATTACAACCAAAGACCACACAAAGAATGAGGAGAACAGTCCGGTGTTTGCGGCTATACCCAAGCGCTACCGTAAACTGGACCTGAGGTACTCCAAATCTGACGACCTTGAGATGGAACAGTACAACAAGACTGTGTTTAGTGGACTAGAGGCTACGCTGCCCAACTCTTACTGCAATGCTATGATACAGGTTAGTCAGGGATTGTGTAGTAATGAATAGATATATGGGATGAATAATAAAGAGTATGGGGCCTAAAATGAACCCTTGCGGCTCTCCACAGGAGTGTGTTTAAGCTCTGACAGTGAATCTTGGAAATAAACGGCCTGGAATCTGTTGGTCAGATATGACTCAGTTTAGTCTTAAGTTGTATTATATTGTTGACACAGCCTATACACTATGGTATTTTTCTCTATACAATTTGTGTCTATGGAAAAGAGATGATTTGATTTAAATTGTCTAACATAATGTTTAAATGTTTTTGAGTTCTTTTTGTAAAGCTTTGTTATCACAGGTGTTCCTATTTTATACCACGATATTTAGCCATAGAGTGCGACGTTTTCAGGGGATCTGGCATGTTGTTATATTTACTGTATACAATGGTTATATTGCGGCACTACACACTAAACTTATGATTGGTATCCTTGTTGCAATCCGTGGAAAGCAAGCTCAGGCGCATGTTACATATCTGTTGTAGTTGTAGTCAAACTATGCTCTGGCTGCAGACTTGTAATGCAACAGTTCTGTGTTCTGTAGGTCCAAGCTAACAGGTTAAAACAAAAGCTAGCTTCATCAAAGATAGCTGGGCTCAGTCTCAAACAGTTTAGATAAAGATTGATTTTTCTTTGCACAATGTAAATTCTAGGGGGGGGAGTCAAATTGTATTCAACAAACCCCTAGAACCAGCCACATTCTAATGGCTTCCCTGGAGTGCTCATAAGGAGCCGATAAAATTCAGTCATCAATACGAAAGCTGGTCTACAGTTTTAAAAAGGTTTTAAATAATGGCTCACGCTCCTTGCGGCGAATTAAAGGTACTAGCTAACAGCTGTTTTAATTTGTTGATGCAGCTGTCATAGCCAAAACACTAGTGTAATAGTTTGGGCGTTACATCGGGGTCGAGTTTTGGGGTTATGTCAGCGTCGATGTTAAACATTTTGCCCTGTAAAATAGTGTTGATCCTGTTAATGTGAAGGGTTATCCGGTTGGTTTGATTTGATGTCTTGGAGTTTACTTATAGGCTAAATAAATTGCCTATCAAGTGAGTGTGTGTTTGTACGTTATTGGGTTTGAGTCCAGGTCTACGTTTCTTTGCACATAGTGTTACACATAGATTTAGTTGTTGGCTATTCTAGATGTAAACGAGTATGTCCTAGTTTTTGTTTACCCATGGGTACATTCCCCCTTAAAATTTAGTACCTCAAATCAGGTTCAAACCAGTAACTTTCTAAACCATCTGGTTGAACGATTACTATTCAACTGTTGTGTCTGACTGTATCATGTTCACAGGTTCTATACTTCCTGGAGCCACTGAGACATGTGATTCTCTCCCACTTGTGTCACTCGGAGTTCTGCCTCAGTTGTGAGTTGGGGTTCCTGTTCCGCATGTTGGACGTGAGCCGAGGGACGCCGTGTCATGCGGGTAATTTCCTGCGAGCTCTGCGCAACGCTCACGAGGCTGCCGCGCTGGGCCTCATCCTGCCAGACCACGCTAGCAACAAGAAGACCAACCTCATAGCTCTGATACAGGTGAGTGTATAAAAATATAACAGGAACCGCCTGAACAATTTGAAGTAGTGGTCTGTAAAATCTCAAATCTCAAAACCACCAAAACCTTAGAAAAGTTTCTGTTTTGGCTTTCAAAATTGCTGCTTCTGATCATCACTACTGCAGACCATCTTTTTGACTGGTTTAACTGAAGTAAGGGAAAGCAATTTGAACAATTGTGAAGGGCTAACAGTTGCTTATGGTAGACATCTTGGCAGGATGCATAGTTTATCAGGTACACAAGGTTTAACAGGTACAGCTCGTGACATCTAAGCTGGCACTTGGCCAATCGCTAATAGTGCCTATTTCAAAAACATTATGCCATGTCATGCGGGTTACATCAATTGTCCATGCGACCCATATGAAGGCGCTCAAGTCCCTAATACAAGGGGAGTCAACCCTGTGAGGCAGCGGAAATGTTTGCAGTCCGGTCTTTTCCCTACCTCCACCCTCCTCCCGTCTACACTGCCCGCGCTTGGCCAAGTGCCAGCTTAGGTGTCACGAGCTGTATTGTAGTACAAAACAGTTTACAAAAAGCCCATAATATGACTGATGTGCTTAGGGTCACAGTTCGCCCTGTACAATTATTAATCAAGAAACAGATTTTTTAAATGGTTGTTCTTCCAAACTCTGGAAAAAATTTTTACATTTTTATCACGGCCACTAAAGGGGAGTAATTAAATTATTGGTGATGTTTTTGTTTCTGTAGAATTGGAACAGATTCATCCTGCACCAAATTCATTTCGAGTTGTTGGAGGAGAGTAAACGTAGAAGCAAAGAAAACCCGAAGGCACCTCCGTTTGTCTACAAGGACACTGACTTTCCTTCTATCGACATACAAAGACAGAAGAGGAAAGCTAGAATGGAAAATAGTGGTAAGAGTTGCAATCAATTAACTCTTAATGGAATTTTACATAAACTGTAAAGCTGAGTTTTCCGTCTCCTAAAGCCCCTAAGCGGTTTACTTGGCTTTCTCAAAAATCTTTAAAAAAACAATCAACATCAATATAAGTTTTAAATGAAAACTTTGCCAATATTTTATTATTTTTCTTTTCATTATACATGCCACATTTTTTCATTTGTCATGTTTCTGATAATGGATAGCAAAAAAACTAAAAACAAAAAAAATAGTAAAATATTAGTTAGGTATGTTTGTATTTTAAAACTTATTGAAACCAATATTAGCAGTTCTTCTTGAAGAATAAATATAAGGTTTTTGAAAAGTGTTTAAAAAAAAGTGAGAGTGAGTTTTGGGCCAAAATAGTAAGTAACTTAACATATTACAGTAGTTGAAATTAATGTCAATATTCTATTAATGTCATGAAAAAGAAAAAGAAATATATTATGAGATTGCATCTTAATTTGATTGAAAACTAGTTTGCTGGTAATCATTTTGGACCAATTGATCTGTTATCAATTCAATGGTAAATGATTATTGATTTTTAGGAATTTTTATAAATATAGTGACACACATTACAAAATAGTCACGTTGAATTATACAGTAGGTAGGCATGACACAAAGTTCTATTATGCCTAATGTTAGGTGCTTTTAGTTGATTGATAATTGATAGTTGCAGTTAAGGTAGTTTTTCCATAGGCAATATAATTTTTGAAAACTTTTAGGCCATGCAATATTAAAACTGTATGCAGGATAAAACTGGAGTTTAGGCTTCCACGCCTACATATTACGTAGGCCTACATTACACTATAAGATACTAGAGATAGAACGGGATTTTCAATAAAGTTCAATGGGGATAAAACAGAATATTTCATGATGTTCAAGTGGGATAAAATTTAAGTTTTTTTATTCAAGTAAATATTTTGTTTTATTATGCAGAAGGATGAGTAAGGGGTTTGATTTGAGGCAGTATGCTGAAAAAAAAGGGTTTTTCAGATTTTTTACTACTGCGCGGTTGTATACAGAGGCGAGGTAATCAGAGGACGAACATAGAATGGAGAGGTTAGTTCATAAGTAGGATTTAGGACCTACCTTTTGCACAAATCAAGCACTGAAAGTAGAAAGTATTTTGCATAATGTTGGTAGTCACTAATAAGACTCGTATGTGTTTAGACGAGGCTCCAGTGAGTTCCAACATAGAGAGCAAAGAGGAGGAGACGGAGATCAGTCGGATGTTCGGCACCAAGCAGATACACGTACACAGATGTCTCAAGTGTCAGAGAGAGGTTAGCAAAGAGTCCAGTCTGCTGGTCTGCAACCTCATCTACCCGGACAATGGTCAGTACCTACATAGGACGAATAGATAGGAAATATAAGAATAACATTTGTTTTATGATTAGCGGAAACTGCTTTGCTTTTTTGTGTACTAAAAATTTGTTAAATCTGGATTTTGTCAAGATCTTGAAAATAGATTTTTGACAATCCCTTTATGGTTGTTAACTATATTAACTTGTAGCTAATAATGAGTTTGCCTTGGATACCATACAAAATACAGTTAGTAGGATTGCAACTCATTTTAATAGTCATACTTTAAAGTTTATTCTTTTTATTTTGCGATCTAGATAAAACAATACAAACACTCAAAGTGTTGTATGTAATAATTAATTATCTAAGAGGTTTACATTGAGATGAATACTAAACATGCATGGATAAAAAGTAAATTACCTTTTTAGCCATTAAACTTATTTTGTGTTTACTAGGGATTACTGGCCAGATTTTTTACTTCAGGTTATAAGACCAAAATAATATTGACCTTGGGTATGGCTTTAAGGTGCATTGTCCCTGAAGCGACTCTTGCGATAGTAGCTGAGCGATAGTAGCTTAGCGATAGTAGCTGAGCACTGGTTAGCGTTGTTTCAAATGGGAACATTGTCCTTGACGCGACTGCGACTGGAGCGGCTGGCGGCTGAACACAGCGACTGTAGCGGGTCTGCTCTGAGGGGAGTCAGAGTCGCAGTCGCTGAGCGATTTGTGTTGTGTATAGACTTGTTTTGGTCGTATTATAAATTATAAAATGAAAATACTTTTTAAAAATGCAACGTTTTTAAACGCACTATAAAGTAAAAAAAAATAATTTATAAATATGTGGGGAGAATAAATACTTGAAGGATTAAAAAAAAACGTGGAGTGCATGCTGATTTACAATTATCTTTACCTATTGAACTTATTATTATCTATTGCATGCACCCCACGTTTTTCGTTTTAAATCTTTTTAGTATTTATTCCCTCCACATATTTATAAATTATTTTTACTTTTTAGTGCGTTTAAAAACGTGGCATTAAAATTTTTTTTATATTTATAATTTATTTTCTTCTTAGTCTTTAATGTGTAAATATGTTAAATCTATTTTATATAGACATAGACATAGACATATTTTATTCATGAATTTGGTACAAATTATACAATGTACATCTCAATCGTCAAATACATTACATGGTCTAGCACCATTTAAATCAAAACGAAAAATAATTAGTTAAATCTATTTTATTCTAAAGATTTAAACAAATAAGTCAAATAAAAATGCCATGTTGAATGAGATCAGGCAGACAGGAATTCTTCGGTACTGTAAAACTCACCTTCCACCAAATAATTTTTCAGTAGTTTCCCAAAACCATTAGAACCCAACCTTGAACTGCGCTGCTTTACTTCTTCAGGAAGCCTATTAATGAAAAATGGGCCCGAAAAATTTGCATTCCTTTCAGAAAGGGTCAGACGATGACATGGAGTACGAAGATCTCCTCCATGCCTAGTGGGGTATCTATGACATTGACCAACCGATGGAATATCCTTCAGATGATTTACTGCAGACATTATTGCTCTGTATATGAACATAGAAGGCAGAGTTAAAATGTTGTTCTCCCGGAAGACTCCTCTGCATGAATGGAGTAAGCAATTAATTGAGGATACGCACTGCCCTTTTTTGTACGGTAAAGACCTTATCACCATGGGAAGAACCACCCCAGACTTCAATACCATAAGTCATGACTGAGAAAAAACAACCATAGTAGACTGCAACTAACATTTCCCAGTCAAGAAGAGGTTGCAACGTCCTAAGTGCATGGCAGATGCGGTTCAACTTGCAACAAAGCTGTGATACATGATTGGACCATGACAACATTCTATCCACAGTTAGACCTAAAAATTTCACAACAGAGCACTCTTCTATCTCGAACTTATTCAACGAGACGGATTCAGGGATCTTATTGAGAGTTAGGAATTGCATGAAAACGGACTTATCGGAGTTTAGTCTAAGATTGTTCAACGATAACCAACTTAAAAGTGAACTAACTGACTCTTCAACTCGAGATTGCAAATTGGAACATGGACCTCCAAACAGTAAGGTTGTGTCATCCGCATAGAATATTGATTTAGCTGAATGAAGATGTGCTGATAGATCATTAATATACACGATAAAAAGCAATGGTCCGAGAATACTGGCCTGTTAATACATACCAAACCCTTATTATCTGTAGTCATATGTTTTACATTTCCTTTGAACTGCTTATTTTATATTTAGAATCTATCGGGAGCAGAACCTGTACCTCTACCCAAGCTTTTCGACCTGTCAAATTTAGGTATTTACGGCTGACTTCAAAATGTAAACATGGAAAATTTGGAAGCCCATGGGGCTTAGCCAAAGGAAAATATGAAAATTAAATGATATCGTATTACATTGTCATCCATTTGTGAGCTGTGTTCTCTAGTTTCATTTCTCTAGCTCGTCGGGAAGTTAGTTTAAAATTTATTGCAAAGTTTGTACCGGACAAGAAAGCGAGCTAATAAAAACGTTTTAAAATTAGGATGTGTCATGGCACTCATAACACCAATTCACTCGAAAGTCAGCAAACTAATATACAGAATCGCTCTAGAACAATCGCTTCAGGGACAATGACATGGTTAGCTACTATCGCTGAGCTACTATCGCTGAGCTACTGTCGCTCAGCTACTATCGCAAGAGTCGCTTCAGGGACAATGCACCTTTAGGTGGGGTCTAAATCGGGCCGGGCCAACATTTAGTTGCTTAGGAAAGAATTCATAAAAAAATTAGAATTGTTATAGTACATGTTTTGTAGAATATAGTAGGCCTTTACTCTCTCTTCTGAACGAGATTATATCGTGAACATCTTCCACAGTCACGGAGACATCATCTCCCACAATCTTGGCCAAATTGTGAATTTTCGACTGCACAATCTAGACAGAATCTTTCTGTGATTGCATTAACAATAACAACACTTGGTTCATAAATCAAACCTCTGATGTGGCCCAAAAGCTATTTCTGGCCTAAACAGATCTTTCTGGCCAACTGTCAGCCAGGCCTGACCCCTGGTAAATACACTTGCAGATTCTTTACTGATGTTCTAACTGAGATTGTTTATGACCTCTGTGACAGAAGCCTGTAAGCCTGTGCAGTTCTGTGAGGTGCTCAGTCAGAGTCTGTGTCCTCAGCAGACGACGCCAGCCTGGTGTGACCAATGTGAGAGGTTCCAGCCGACGGAACAGTCCCGAAGGATTAAGTCACTTCCTTCTCTGCTCACCGTCAACTGTGGCATGGATAACAATCAGGTAACTGCTGTAAGATAGATTAATTGTTTTTCTTATCGTGTTTTAAGATCTTAGTTATGTTTAAAATTTTCTGATCAACTCATATCTTCTAAAACCTTATTTTCTCCAAATCAAAAATATCAACTTTTCTTATTTGTGCAGGAGAAGAACTTCTGGCAGACACAGATGGACATTCTGGTGAAGAACGCAGTGGACGTGGGAGGCAGTCCTGCAGGCAAGCCTTGTCGCTACGGTACAGCCTGCACAAGACCTGGCTGTCGCTTCAAACATCCTGACCGGACAGGTGAAGTGCATGTTTGTTTGTGCATTTGAAATAGAATATACAATAGGAATAAGGTTAGCTTGTTTAAAAAGATACCCTAATCTAACCAACCCTACTTAACTTAATGTAGCCTTAGAACCTAACCTAAGAAAACGAAAACCTAAACCTTTCAGGAAACACATCCTAATCGAAAAAGCATATCCAAATTCTACCTCACCTAACATAGTACTGTCTAGTTGAAACAAAGACCAACCCAATCCAACCTAATCCATAACAATCTAACTAATTCCCAAACAAACTAACCTTACTTATATTGGTGGTACTGTATCATCGTATCAGGTTAGTAAAGACAAGTCTACTTATGTTTTATTGTACTGTAGTTGAGAGGAAGTGTCACTGACAAGTCCGACAATGTTGTATTATACTGCAGTTGAGAGGAAGTGTCACTGACAAGTCCGACAATGTTGTATTATACTGCAGTTGAGAGGAAGTGTCACTGACAAGTCCGACAATGTTGTATTATACTGCAGTTGAGAGGAAGTGTCACTGACAAGTCCGACAATGTTGTATTATACTGCAGTTGAGAGGAAGTGTCACTGACAAGTCCGACAATGTTGTATTATACTGCAGTTGAGAGGAAGTGTCACTGACAAGTCCGACAATGTTGTATTATACTGCAGTTGAGAGGAAGTGTCACTGACAAGTCCGACAATGTTGTATTATACTGCAGTTGAGAGGAAGTGTCACTGACAAGTCCGACAATGTTGTATTATACTGCAGTTGAGAGGAAGTGTCACTGACAAGTCCGACAATGTTGTATTATACTGCAGTTGAGAGGAAGTGTCACTGACAAGTCCGACAATGTTGTATTGTACTGCAGTTGAGAGGAAGTGTCACTGACAAGTCCGACAATGTTGTATTGTACTGCAGTTGAGAGGAAGTGTCACTGACAAGTCCGACAATGTTGTATTGTACTGCAGTTGAGAGGAAGTGTCACTGACAAGTCCGACAATGTTGTATTGTACTGCAGTTGAGAGGAAGTGTCACTGACAAGTCCGACAATGTTGTATTGTACTGCAGTTGAGAGGAAGTGTCACTGACAAGTCCGACAATGTTGTATTGTACTGCAGTTGAGAGGAAGTGTCACTGACAAGTCCGACAATGTTGTATTGTACTGCAGTTGAGAGGAAGTGTCACTGACAAGTCCGACAATGTTGTATTGTACTGTAGTTGACAGGAAGTGTCACTGACAAGTCTGATGATTATTTTATTGTACCGTAGGTGGTGGTAGTGGAGGGTCTCCCAGCCCTAGTCATCTGTATCAGTCACACTCCTGGCTACCTCAGCATATACAGGTGGACCTGAGAGCTAATGGACAAGTCAACATCACCAAGCTGGATAGACCTGATGACATCGTAGCCACTGACAAGGTAGTTATGCACACTTTATGGTAATATTGCTACTTATAAAGGCTCTTAACAGAATCAGAATATTAAGTTGTTTTTCTCATATTTCTCCATTTCTTGTTAAGTTACAGTTACAATTAAAGAAATATTCTGCGTTTTTACTTCACAACTTTGGAATCTATGTTAAAAGTTATACTGTGTAGTCCTTTTATGCTCCCATCTTTGCTATACTTGTATGCTTGCAGGAGACGTACGTACAGACGGAAGTGTACGACCTGTGCGCTGTGGTGTGCTACGTACACGAGGAGCGCAAGAACCTGGTGGGTCTGATCAACGTAGGACCAGGCTACCACCAGCGGGCTGCCGGGTCCAGCAACAGTCAGTGGTACGTGTTCAACGACTTCAGCATCACGCCGGTCAACAGCCAAGAGGTGGTGTGGTTCTCGCTGGACTGGAAGGTGCCGTGTGTGTTGTACTGGACCAATCACGTGGTGACGCCTCAGGTTCTGCCGTCACCTAGGCTGGACCTGCCTGTGGACATCTTGGCCGCTGAGACTTGTCTGGCGACGTCGGGCAGAGGCATTACATTCACACCCCTCACCACTGAGGAGGCTCCTGGGCCTGGTGAGTGAAATGTCCTTCATAGTGTAGACTCGGTGGGTTTTTAAACATAACTGGTTTTACAGAATGTCAAACAAGTCTAGATGGTAAGCAAGAATTGTAGGAAATTTTGATGACCAAGGATAAATTTGTTAATTGTCCGTGAATGGGACCAGGAAATTTATATTTTGACCAATTACTTTGAAAATCTAATCCACCAATAGTCGCCAATTGTTCTCTTTTCGTACCATTGGCAAAAAATTATCACGTCTGTTGCTGGAATGGTAAAAATCACGGGAAATCATCCTGGATATGACTCGGATATTGGGAAATCGTCTCCGATGTTGGCATGCTGAAGATGATCACAAATAAGTCACAGATGTGCCACCACTTAATAGTATGCATTTAGAGAAAATAACAGTACACATTTGGTAGTTTGTTATATTTTGCTGGTTTTTTGACTTGTAACATTCATAGTAAAATGTTTTTATACATTTTTCCTTTTTGGATTGGAGTTAATTTGCAGGCTTTAAACATCTTTAAACGTTGGTAGTAAGTTATTTTTATAAAGGACAGGTTTTTACCTGGAAGTTTTAAACCTGAAAAACTAAATGCCAAATAATGGCAATCTGGTTTGTGTACTAATAAATAATATTATTGACATTCTAAAATCATAATCATTCTAACACTAACACACTCAAGAACTCTTACATTTCAATGATGAGCGAACAACATTTTACATTATAATCTGAATGCTTGTGTTTGCAGGTGATTTAGTGGCGATGGACGCAGAGTTCGTGACACTCAACCAAGAAGAGTCGGAACTGAGGAGTGACGGAAAAACAGCCACAGTAAAACCTTCCCACAAGTCTGTGGCTCGTATCTCCTGCATCAGAGGGTAAATATATACCCAGATAATATATACCTGTAACATAATATACCTAGATAACATATTCCTAGATAACATATTCCTAGATAACACACCATACCTACAGTAGATGTAATAGATTGAGGGTGCAAAGGGTGGTATAGTTGCACTAGTTGTAGAAGTTATTTAAATAAATTCTATTTTGTGTTTTTATTTGTTTTTTATATAGTTATTTCTGGAAACTGCCATATTTCACACACTATAGTCTATTCAAAAACTATAGACGGTTTGGGGGCCAGTTCCCCCACTTTTAGCGAATTTCCCATATAGGGAATAAGCTATTACCGTAGTACTCATGGTAAGACCTGGACCCGAGACCGATCTAATTTTTCATTTTGAGGTCCCTAGAGGCCAAAAACACCATCCGTTCAAATTCATATATATATATATATATTTATATATATATATGTGTCCGTTAGCGCGATAACTCGAGCAAAAATGATCCGATTTTGATGAAATTTGGTACAAACGTGTAAACCTACGTTTATTCAAACGAGTTCGCGATCCAGCATAATCGGACCATGGGAACGGGGGATTATGGGGGGTTTTATGGGGTAAAAATGGGTTTTTCCCATTTTTTGAACCTAAAAACAAAATATTTTGCGATTTCTTTCTAAAACGTTTTGTAGAGCTTAAAAAAAGAAATAATTTAATATATTGAAGCGCTGTTGTATGCCTAACAGTCACGGAGAAAATTCAAAAATTGTGTAATTAAAAATTCCCATGTTATTCTTATGGATAAAATGAAAATTGTTGTAGTTTACTTGTTTATGGGTATATATTGATAAAATTTGGCAAATTTATTTATTTCATCCTATACTATTGATGGTCAAAAAACACTTTTTACCTTCCCCGTAGCAGCAAACCTAAGCACTTGTTAAATCTAATGTTATTCAAATAGGGAATAATATGTCTTATTTATGGAAATATTTTAGTAAAAAAGTAACCAGACAAGTTGAAATTTGCTTAGTCTGCAGGTTTGCTGCGGCGGGGGTATTTTTTCTTCTTAATGTACAGCTAATAGACGTTTTTGCTAACCTCAGGTTTTGAGCTGTTGTTTTAAAGGTAGGGTCAAGTGGAGGGGATAGATTTCTTCCCCTAAAACCGCCTAAATTTTGTGAGCAGTGTATAGTTTAGGTCCTTTATTTTTATTTTTGCCTCTCAAAACTTGAAGTTGAACTGTGTGACTGGATTATGTCTACTACTGTACCTATGTCTAACAAAATTAGTTATATTGCATTTTCATTCCTATATATTATTTCATTGTTGAGGTTAACAACAAGTGTACACACTTAGGCAAGGGCTGCAGAAAGGAGTGCCATTCATAGACGACTACATCTCCACACAAGAACAAGTGGTTGACTATCTGACAAAGTTCTCTGGTATCAAGCCGGGAGATCTGGATGCTAACTACAGCTCCAAACACCTCACTACGCTCAAGTCTACCTACCTCAAACTGCGCTACCTGGTGGATAACGGGGTCGTCTTTGTCGGCCATGGACTGCGCAATGACTTTAGGTATGTGAATGTACGATGTTGTGTGTGTTGAATTAGAACCTATGTTTATTGTAAGAATCTATTCCCAGGAACTAAAGTAAGTAAAACCGATAGGCTGTTTACCTTGTGTCAGCAATTGCTTAGCGTGATTTTTCACGAGACGTTTCTATAGAACTAGGGCATCATCAGATGTCACAATACAAATGTATATAAAATTTGTTTACTGTACTAATATGAATGCATTTTTATGCTTTACAGTTTTCTATACACAATTTTATGTACTTTATGTCCAATTACTGTAGGTATGTTGTTAAATCTAATAAAACATGGAAAATTCACTGTTTTATTTACCAAATATTGTTTAGATGCTGAGCTGTTGAAGCCATTTAAAGAGATTTAAAATATACCAAATGCTAATTCTTTTTCAAATGCATTCTATTTTTAAAAGATGCTTGGATGATACCAAAGTAAATGGTAACCGCATGACTGTGATTGTGTACCTTGTTAGTAACAAAATCATTTGTGTTTTCTACAGAGTGATCAACCTAATCGTCCCTCAAGACCAAGTGAAGGACACAGTACATTTGTTCCATCTTCCTCACCAACGCATGGTGTCACTTAGATTTCTGGCGTGGCATTTCCTAGGTAAGTACAGCTTGTTTTTGACATATCCAATATTTCTCAAATTCTCTATTTCAAGTTAAACGCACAACTGTGGGAACGTTTACATCCCTATGGTTATTTTTGGTTCAAACCTTTATCCTTCATTAAAGCTGTCAGCTGTCATTGAAAAAATTAATGCTTTTGGCGACTATTCCAAATTTTCCAGTTCCATACTAAGTTCTTGTACAGTTCACAGACTTTTCCTCAGTTTCTAGGTTGGTTGAACACAATGAACATATTGAGAATATAACACCAGTAACTCTGGGTGTGTAGGTTTTTTCTTAATTTCAGAATTCAAAGCGAAAATTTCAATGTTTTTTTGTAGGCACGGCTTTTTATACAAGTATTCATTTAACTATTATTTTATACTTGGCAGGCAAAAAGATCCAATCAGAAACCCATGACTCGATAGAAGATGCTAGAGCTGCGTTACAACTGTACGAGAAATACCAGGAACTTGAGGCGAAGAACGTTGTACGGCAAACTTTGGAGGATATGTACAAACAAGGCATCTCGTCCCAATGGAGGGTACCTGAGGATTAGGACTAGGAACAAATGTGATAGGAGCAATGCAGGTGCTGAATTAAACCCGTGCTGAAATGGTATTTAATTTTTTTTTTATAAAAGCGTAGATATTAAGATTTTTTTAAATGTTTAGAATCATTACTTTTAATAGGGGAAGGGGGGGGGAGTGGAATTAAATTATATGTCTTTAATTTAAAGATGAAGATTAAATTTGACTCTATGTGGGTAAACAAATTTTAAAAGTTTGGATATATTTAGTAAGTATATCATTGTGCTGTTGAATCGTGGAAATAAGAGTTTCTGGACTATTCTTCTTACATCCGAATTTGAACTCTTAGCATTGTATTTTCTCCTTTATGACAGCAATAAGCTCCTAGGTGCATATTTTAAGCTTTATGAATGCAAGGCGAGCGTAGTAGAGTCCAGAGTGAGATGATCTGTGTAGCTTCGCTTCTGACCAAGATCAGCTGTTTCATTAGCCAGGATCATTTATAAACCCAACGATTAAGGACAGCTGAGTTCAGTTTTAAACCATCAAAAAGCTACCGACTTTTCTCAGCATAATAATAAACTATGTGAGCATAAAACTGGAACCCAAACTAATTATCTAAAAATAATTGTTACCTATCTTAAAATTGACCCAAACTTTGGTCAAAAACCTTTTTGGCATTTTAACGTTTATGAAACATCCATGACTTTTGGGTATTTTTTTACGGAGGTGACCTAATCTTGCCGAAGAATGTTAGGCCTTATAACATTTAACAAAAATATTTTGAGAAATATAAAAGAAAACCCTTATTTACATATATATGGTATTTTGTAAGTCAACAAAATGTTAAAAATAAACTCGGAGGGAAAAAAAAGACCAGTAAAGATGTGTTAGACAAAAGAAATATTCTTTGAAGAGGTAATTCCAACCATAATAACTGTTAATTGAGCAACAATATGTTTGCTAACAAAACAGTTCATGTTTACAGCTGTGTTCACATTGGTTATTTACTAACACTCTTTCCTTTCCTTAGTTTTAAGCAGTAAAATTCCAGGGAAATCAATTTAAAGTTAACATTTTCCCATTAAAACCTACAATTAAAGTTTATTTACTATGCGATTAAAGTATAATTCAGGATCAATATAATGAATCTAGATACTAATATATTTTAACCAAGAAACTTTTAACTTAGTGGGTTATTTATTTCAAAAATATAATCTGAAACAATCTAAAACATAAAAAAAATACTAAAACAAAAATTTCAGCACCTATTTTAAATATAAGACAAATAAGATTTATTAATGTATTATTGTTAATACAATATTGTAACGAGTTTGTTTTATAAACTCTCTAAAATGTATCTTGTCTCATTTGACCTTGGATCGACTCCTTCACGGTTTTTAGCCAGTGGGTGTGGTGGCACAACAAACGCTACCACATTTGGCAGAATAACAATGTTATAGCTATGAGGAACAGTACTGAGGCGTTTGCTGTACATGTCAGCAAATAGTGCCTGTTATCACCACGTATAATTGGTGTGACGGCTGCATTCAAATGAGATGGAGCTCAATTTCCACACGTCAGAACTGGATAGATTATTGGGAAGTAGTGGGAGTGAGAGTGATTGTTTTGTGGTGTCTGACGTGGAAGATTTGTTACCTCGGGTTCGTCGAACTAATCACTCGGAAGCTGTGAGTAAACGTTTGGTGGAGTATGTAAAGAATAGCAGTTGTATGGGAATCATAGGGTAGGATTAATCGATAATGAATTAAATTCTTCTGGTCGTATTATAAATATTTATTTTGAATAGAATTGAATTGTGTTGTAAATAATACAGTGTAACCTAAGTTTTAGATATAATAATCTTAGATTATGTACTTAGATGTTGGATGATATTTCAATTTTTATAAATTAGGAGTTGTGGTATTTTTTTTTTTTTTTATTTTAGTTAATTATTTGCTTTGAGTGTGGTTGGTTTAGTTTATATCCAACAATGGTTACAAAGATTTTGCCAACAAAACAGACTCTGCAATGCCACATGGACGGTGTAGTGATAAAAGAAAGATGTTACATCAGAAAGTATTGAGTCTTAGTTAGTCTTGTTAGACATTAGAAACACCCCTCTGCAGCAAACCTGTTGACTAAGCAAATTCCATTAAAATTGTCAGATTTATTCCCTGTTTGAATAAAATTATGTTTAACAAGTGCTTATATTTGCTGCTACAGGAAAAAAATTAGTTTTTGGTAAAATATTAATTAATAGTACCTAAAATAAATAAATTTGCCAAATGTGATCATTCCTTAAACTACAAAAGGTTATTTATTCTCCATTAGATTAACATGGGAATTTTTAATTTTAATAGTTTATTTTATTTTTTTTTTTTGCGAATTTCCCATATAGGGAGTAAGCTATTACCGTAGTACTCATTGTAAAACATGGACCCGGGACCCATTTACTTTTTTGTTTTGAGGTCCCTAGAGCCCAAAAACACCATTCGTTCAAATTCATATATATATATATAGATTTATATATATATACTGTTAATACGTAATTTAAGCCAAGTATGAATGAAGATGAGTGTAGGATGAGTGGCGCCATTGACTATACGTATAGTCAATGGTGGCGCGTTCTTGTAGTCTTGTTAGTGACTTAAGGCCCACATTCCTTAGACACAGCTGTTAATTAACAACCCATACAGCTAATGGCAACTAAGGGACCTATAGTTTATAGTGGAATCCGAACCACATTTTTGACTTGGTAATTATGAATTGGTCATTGGTCTAATTATCAGGATAGTACTGCGATTAGTCGTAGTACTCACTAGTGCAGACGTTAATCCACACCAGGGAGTATCGCATCCACAGTGCATGCCTATAAATATCCACAATTTGTGACCTAGTAGCTGGATTACCAAGGACGACGCCACCCGTCCCAGTCCATTAGCACGATAACTCAAGCAAAAATGATTCGATTTTGATGAAATTTGATACAAATGTGTAAACCTACATTCATTCGAAGAAGTTCGCGAACTAGCAGGATTGTACAATGGGAACGGTGGTTTATGGGGAGTTTTTTGGGGTAAAAATTGGTTTTTCCCATTTTTTACCCTAAAAACATAAAATTTTGCAATTTCTTTCCAAACCATTTAGTAAAGCTCAAAAAAACAAATAATTTAGTATATATTGAAGTGTTGTCCCAGGGGGGGATGCAGGGCCTGATTACACATTAGGCTAATTAGGCTAGAGCCTAGGGCGCCAGTCAGCCAAGTGTTTTAGGGGGGCGCCAGACAGCTAAGACTTAAAGTTGGGACCGGGGGCGTAAAAAATGTTTTATTCCAAAAAAAGGATTCGTGCAGATAGGGAATGAGGCGGGGAAGGGTGCGTTCGGCAGATTTTCATTATCATTATATCCATATATAAAGCCAAAAGTACCTATGAACTTTTGAGAAAACTACAAGTCACACCCCCATAAGCCATGTATACTTAAAATGTTCGTCATGACGAGAAACATTGTGCAAAACTATCCATTATTTCATAATTTGCCCTTTAAGGTCGTAATTCCTTTCTAAAGGGATCTTTCCATATACCTAATGTTAAAAATACCTCAGCTGTACTTATTTGTTTATTTCAGCTTAACTTAACCAATAGTTTTATTTATGAAGTCAAACGGGGTGAAGGCTGTGGGTTACAGCAAGTTTATAGTAATAATTGATTTGTAAAAACATTTAACGATACTTTTTGTTGCCGATAAATAGGGTACAGATAAATGGCTGTAATTCCATCTAAAGGTCCTAATAAAATTGTTTTAGGCCTAGGTGATTAACAGAGTTAATTTAGATCCCTACGTATATTGTTTGATTTTTTTATATTTAGGTTAGGTGTACTTTTGATTTAATACAATCATATGTTTAATAAAATGTAAAATAAATACATTATTTTAAATAAAAAAGTGGGACATTCCTTGAACAACCGATTTGTTACTATTTTAAACGTTCCTAATCAAACCATGCATTAATTATTTCTGATCAGTTTTCTTTTGTTTTTAAATAAACTGAATATTAGTATAATGCCTTTGGCCATTTTACATTTTGAATTCAGTATTGGTAATTCATTCTTTGAAATGTTTAAACCAGAGATGAGGGGTAGTGGTAGGGAGGAGGGGGGGCGCGAAAAAACGTCAGCCTACTGGCGACTAGACCCTTAATCAGGCCCTGGGGGGATGGGAGGGATATATCCACCCTAAAAATATTTTATATTTTATTAGCTAACATAAATACTATTAGCTTGAGCATATTTTAGAACTCAAATACGTATATAATTATAAATATGTTTTTAGGCTTTAAATTCCATATTTTTTCCAGGGGGGGGGGCGAACCCCCCTTTTACTGGGGAATATTCCTTACCCCCCAGACTCCCCCGGTGGTAATACCCCCCCCCCCCCCAAAATGAAATCCTGGGACCACCACTGACTGATTCATATGGTTCAGTATGGTTACCTCAAATTTGGTGGTAACACAATGATTTTCCATTGATCTTTGCAACCTCTAATCAGTATGAGTCACATTTTCTAAATTAAAATCTCATTAAGAAAATGACCATCTGTTTGCAACTTGTCCATTCAATCTTTTACCTGTACAGATTTTGAGATTTACTAGAATTTTGTAATCTTAATGACACAGTGTCAGTCACCACAAACAACTATATAAGTTTTTGTCACTTAGGGAAACATGGCACATAAGTAAAACTTGGCTTTCAAAAACATAGAACAACCCTAAACGAAGATTAGACAGAGCCGCAAAACCCTTTTACCCATGTTAGAGGTTATCTAAAAAAATTCAAAATAGAAACCCATTTATATGTGTTTTTCTGTGATAACAATAAACTTGTAATAGTCTAGACATAACATATTCATTAGTTCCTGTATATTTTGTTCTGTGTTTAGTCCTATGATTACTGTTAATGGGTGGATTTCCTCAATTCACAGGTTATTGTCATCAAAAGCAAACCTTTCTTATGGTTTCTTTAATATTTGTCTTCATTGTTTTTTTTCTAATTTGTTTTAAGATAAACACATTAATCTTGTATGGACGTTTTTTTAGAGTTGAAATATTGCTTGAATTACCAAGTCGCAAACTAACGTAATCAATGGTTTGCGAGCGTCTACCAAGAGCTTTCAACACTGATATTACCCATTATTCATGTGTTATTCCCCCATATCAATTATTATAACATTCCCAAAAATACAAGTAAAAGGTTTCCTTCACTTTGTTGAATATTTATGACCATTAACTTTTGATACTTTCCTGCGCTTCCACAGTAAAAACCATGACTCATGGCTAACAGTTTAATCCTATCCATATGCAAAAGATGCAAAATTAATTTTCAGGGAAGAGGAAATAAACACACTAAAAATTAAAGTTGTGTTACATGGTCTAAATCTTTCAATGGTCTAACACTAACTGGCGACCATTTTGAAAACAGTGTAAATTTATCAAACCGCTCCATTTCAAAGCTGAAGCAGGGATTAAACATAAATAGGATTACCATTATGGATCAGACAAAGGTGAATTCAAGGTAGGTATGTTTATGCTTACTCTTGAGTATAAGTATAAAAGACCGAAACAGGTTCCAAAATCCATTGGATGAAAAGTCTCTGTCGGTACTTGGAATCCAAAATCAATTGCTGGACTTCACCAACCATGTACATTGAAATCTTTCACATAACTTACAAAGAAACATTCAAACTCTTGCGGTCAATCATGAATAGATAACTCTGGAAGAGAGCTTCCAGCAATGAGGAAGAGAACAACATAACTGGACATCATGACATGATTGATGGTGATGTCATTGACTGCACTTATCAATGGGACGGATTATGATTTATGATTAAACATTGGACAGTGTCCTGAAAATATTCCTCTGTCATACTGTACAAGAACTTAGATGACAAGGGAAGTGATGTAATAATGTTCACCCAACATTAATCATGGGGACAGTAATTACTAATTAGAATTAAAAAAATAATTGTTTATATGGAAACCCAAGTTACAGAAAATTAAATTTATTAATAGACAAAATTAGATTGTGTAATGTGTATCTTGATGGACGCTCAGTGACTGCTAAACATTGATTTCAATGGGCCCGTTGTCCAAGAACGCGTCTGACGCTGATAAATATACGCTGGCGATGGACGCTCAGTGACTGCTAAGCATTGATTTCAATGGGCCCGTTGTCCAAGAAGCGTCTGACGCTGATAAACAGACGCTGGCGATGGACGCTCAGTGACTGCTAAGCTTTGATTTCAATGGGCCCGTTGTCCAAGAACGCGTCTGACGCTGATAAATAGACGCTGGCGATATACGCTCAGTGACTGTTAAGCTTTGATTTCAAGGGGCCCGTTGTCCAAGAAGCGTCTGACGCTGATAAATATACGCCGGCGATGGACGCTCAGTGACTGCTAAGCTTTGATTTCAATGGGCGAATGGGCCCGTTGTCCAAGAAGCGGCTGACGCTGAGCGTCTGACGCGGGCACTGCTCCGGGAGTGTCCGGGATCGCTGATGGCCAGGGTCTGTTGCGTCTATTGCAGTGTTGTTTCTGTGTTCTTCCGTATACTCATACTCCATTTAATGTAATAGCTCACTTAATGTAGAGCTAACTTTTCTGCTCTTGTTATTGGATTGCATACTGTTT